CTGCTGCCGCCATGGGGACCCTCAGCTGCTGCCTCCTGCTCGCCCTGGCCCTGCTCAGCCCCCGCGCCGCTGCTGCCAGGAAGGTAAGGGCAGCCCGGGGGCAGCGCCCGGCCGGGGATGTGCCCAGTCCTGCTGTGCCATGCCGTGCTGTCCCCAGGGCGCAGGGTGACTGCATGAGGGGCTGCATGGCCTGGCTGTGCCGTGTCGTGCCGTGCTCTGCCGTGCCATGGTGTGCCGTGCCATGCTGTGGTGTGCTGTGCCATGCTGTGCCATGGTGTGCCGTGCCATGCCGTGGTGTGCTGTGCCATGCTGTGCCATGCCAGGGTGTGCTGTGCCGCGCTGTGCCGTGCCGTGGTGTGCCATTTCACGCTGTGCCATGCCAGGGTGTGCCGTGCCGTGGTGTGCTGCCCCTCGGGCACAGTGTGCACGGCTGAGGCCGTTGCACGCTTTCCCTGTGCCCTGCCGTGCCGTGCTGTGCCATGCCGTGCCGTGCCGTGCCATCCCAGGGTGCAAGTGTGCGTGACCGAGGGGGCTGCCAGCTCTGGCTGTGCTGGCCCTGGGGGTGGTGTTGGTCACCTACCCCTGGTTTGAGGGGCCACCCAGCACCCCCAGCTCTGCACTGCCCTGCCCTGCCGTGGGAGGGAGGGGTACTGGCCCGTGCCACCGGTCCCAGCTGCTGTGCAGAGGGTCCGTGCCAGTCCCAGACACGTGGGGCACATGTCCCACTGCCCGGGCAAGCTGGAGGGGGGTCCTGCCTCGGCACTGCCCAAGGTGCCGGCACAACCCCCGGTCCCCAGTGCAACCTGCAGGGCATGTGGAAGAACGAGCTGGGCTCCAACATGACCCTCTTGGCCCTGGACGCGGCCGGGACCTTCTCAGGCTCCTACCACACCGCCGTGGCAGTCACCAACAAGCGGATCCTGGTGTCACCTCTGCAAGGGACCCAGCAGCACCCCGGTACCAAGGGGCAGCCCACCTTCAGCTTCACCGTGCAGTGGCAGTTCGCAGGTACAGCGGTGCCCGGCACGGCATCCCGGGGCAGCCCCTGCTGGGAGCGGGGTGCCCCCCCGCTGGTCCCACATACCCCCCGTGGCACCCAGAGAAACGCTGGCTGTGGCCACGCACCGGCCACACACACTCACTCCTGCCATGGGGCGTGGGCAGGGGAGGGCTGGCTGTCTGGGGCGGGTGGCAGAGGTGTCTGTCTGTCTGGGAGAGGTGGCAGGAGTGCCCGTCTGTCTGTCTGAGGGACACGGCAGGTGTGGTGCCCATCTCTCTGTCCAGGCGATGTGGAAGCCACCCACCTGGGCAATGGGGCAGGGAGGTCCATCCCTCTGCCCAGGGCATGTGGCGGGGGGTGTCTGTCTGTCTGTCTGCCAGGATCGGGTGGCGGAGGTTCCCTTGCCTGGAGGCACAGGCTCTGAGCCCCTTGAACCCCGCCAGACTCGACCACC